CAAGTGACCCCAAATCCCCCACCGTGCAGATGGACTCGAGGGTCTCCGTGTATTTTTCCTCCGTCTGCCTCAACTCCTGGAGGCAGCAGTGCCTCCGGTCCACCTCCACCCTCTGTGGGGGGGACACCCATGTCCTCAGGGGGGGGAAAAAAAAGGGGGGTGGGGGGACAGTGACCCCATAAATGGGGATCCTACAGCCGGGGTCTGGGGGCTCACAGCGGACGGGGGGACCTCCACCCTCATCAGGTCCTCATAGATGTCGTCCCCGTCGTCCCCTTCGGCCTCGACGCAGTCGTAGAGTTCATCATCATCCTCCACCGTGTCACTGTTGGGGGGACAGGTTGGTAGACCCCCCCCCCAAGAGCTCCCCGAATTGAGAACAAATATCCCCCAAATCCTACAAAGTGACACCAAAATGGCTCCAAAATATCCCCCAAATCCTACAAAGTGACACCAGAATGGCTCCCAAAATATCCCCCAAATCCTACAAAGTGATGCCAAAAAGGCTCCCAAAATAACCCCCAAATCCTACAAAATTTAACCAAAATGGCTCCCAAGATATCCCCCAAATCCTACAAAGTGACGCCAAAATGGCTCCCAAAATATCCCCCAAATCCTACAAAATAACGCCAGAAAGGCTCCCAAAATATCCCCCAAATCCTACAAAGTGATGCCAAAATGGCTCCCAAAATATCCCCCAAACCCTACAAAATAAACCCCAAATCACTCCCAACGTGTCCTCCAAACCCCACAAACCAATCCCACAAACCAACCCCAAAATAACCCCAAACCACCCAAAATATCCCCCAAATCCTACAAAATAAACCCCAAATCACTCCCAACGTGTCCTCCAAACCCCACAAACCAACCCCACAAACCAACCCCAAAATAACCCCCAAACCACCCCAAACATCCCCCAAACCCTACAAAATGAACCCCAAATCACTCCCAACGTGTCCTCCAAACCCCACAAATCAACTGCCCCAAAATAACCCCAAACCACCCCAAATATCCCCCAAATCCTACACAATAGCATCAAAATTGCTCCCAAAATATCCCCCAAATCCTACAAAATAGCTCCCAAAATATCCCCCAAACCCTACAAAATGAGCCTCAAATCACTCCCAACGTGTCCTCCAAACCCCACAAACCGACCCCACAAACCGCCCCAAACATCCCCCAAACCCTACAAAGTGATCCCGACTCCCCCCACTCACTCGATGAGGTCCGACAGACCGCTGTAGATTTCGTCGTCCCCATCGCACTCCTCAGTGGGGAAGGGTCTGTGTGGGGGGGACGCGGTTTTATGGGGTCAGGGACCTGGATCTTATGGGGCTGGGGGGGCGTCGATCCCATAGGAACAGGACAGCTGGATCCCATGTGTTTGTGGGATCTGGGTAACATGGGATTGGGAACTCGAGTCCCGTGGGGTCAGAGACGTGGGTCTGTGGGGTTGGGGTTCACTGACCCTATGGGGTTGGGGACGTGGGACCCATAGGGTGGTGGGATCTGGGGCCCTATGGGGTTGGGGACATGGGACCCATGGGTTTGGGGACATGGGATCAATAGGGTTGGGGACACAGGACTAATAGGATTGAGGACCTAGATCCCATGGGGTTGAGGTTCTGGGCCCTATGGGGTTGGGAACGTGGGACCCATGGGGTGGTGTGATCTGGGATCCATGGGGTTGGGGACATGGGATCAATAGGGTTGGGGACACAGGACTAATAGGATTGAGGACATAGATCCCATGGGATTGAGGTTCTGGGCCATGTGGGGTTGGGCGTCACTGACCCTATGGGGTTGGGGACGTGGGACCCATAGGGTGGTGGGATCTGGGATCCATGGGGTTGGGGACATGGGATCAATAGGGTTGGGGACACAGGACTAATAGGATTGAGGACGTAGATCCCATGGGGTTGAGGTTCTGGGCCCTATGGGGCTGGGGACATGGGACCCATGGGGTGGTGGGATCTGGGGCCCATGGGGCTGTGGTCATGGGATCAATAGGGTTGAGGACCTAGATCCCATGGGATTGAGGTTCTGGGCCCTACGGGGTTGGGGACATGAGACCCATGGGGTGATGGGATCTGGGACCCACGGGGTTGGGGACACGGGACTAATAGGATTGAGGACCTAGATCCCATGGGGTTGAGGTTCTGGGTCCTATGGGGTTGGGGACATGGGTCCACGGGGTTGGGGACATGGGACCTATAGGGTTTAGGACCTAGATCCCATGAAACTGGGAAACCTGAGTCCCATAGAGCTGGGGGCCACAGACCCTATGGGGTTGGGGACATGGGTACATAGGGTTGGGGTCATGGGACTCATTGGTATGGGACATGGGATCCATGGATATGGGGACATGGGTCTTATGGTTATGGGGACACAGGTCCTATGGGTATGGGGACATGGGACCCATGGATACGGGGACGTGGGATCCATGGATATGGGGACATGGGTCCTATGGGGTTGGGGACGTGGGTTCTATGGTTATGGGGACATGGGATCCATGGGTATGGGGACATGGGACCCATGGATATGGGGACATAGGTCCTATGGGGTTGGGGACATGGGATCCATGGATATGGGGACGTGGGATCCATGGATATGGGGACATGGGACCCATGGGTATGGGGACATGGGACCCATGGGTATGGGGACGTGGGATCCATGGATATGGGGACATGGGTTCTATGGGGTTGGGGACATGGGATCCATGGATATGGGGACATGGGTTCTATGGTTATGGGGACATGGGACCCATGGGTATGGGGACATGGGACCCATGGTTATGGGGACATGAATCCTATGGTTATGGGGACGTGGGACCCATGGATATGGGGACACGAACGGGACTCACGTGAAGCCTTTGCTCTGTGCGATGGGTGTCCAGGACAGCGTGGACAAGGTGTCAATCACCTGAGGACAGAAACGTGTCACCAGGAGGGGGTGACCAGGACCCCAGGCTGTCCCCAAAACCTGTCCCCAACCCCCGTGTCCCACCTTCCCAAAATCCTGAACGTCGAAGAGGTCGAAGGCCCCGAAGAGGCGATGTTTGGGGAGCCCGAATTTGTCGGCGCAGGCGGTCAGGAAAGTGCGGATGTTTCTCAGGCACAGGAACTGCGGTGGTAGATGTCACCGTCACCAACAACACCCCGCTGTCACCGTCACACCAACACCCCATCTGTCACCTCCGCTCCCAGCTCCCGCCGTGGCTGTCCCCTCCATCACCATCATCATCGTCAACTCCATCATCATCGTCACCGCTTGTACCCGCTCTGACTGTCACCCCAACGGTCATTGTCACCCCAACAATTGTCACCCCAACAGTCATTGTCACCCCAAGAGTCAACGTCAACCCAGTGGTCATTGTCACCCCAACAGTTGTCACCCTAATGATTGTTTTCACCCCAAGATTAATTGTCAACCTGATGGTCATTGTCACCCCAACAGTTATTGTCACCCAATGGTCATTGTCATCCCAACAATTTCACCCCAACAGTTGATGTCACCCAATGGTTGTTGTCACCCCAAGAGTCAACGTCAACCCAGTGGCCATTGTCACCCCAACAGTTGTCACCCTAATGATTGTTTTCGCCCCAACACTAGTTGTCAACCTGATGGTCATTGTCACCCCAACAGCTATTGTCACCCAATGGTCATTGTCACCCCAACAGTTGTCACCCCAACAGTCGATGTCACCCCAATGGTTGTTGTCACCCCAACAGTTAACATCAACTCAGTGGTCATTGTCACCCCAACAGTTGTCACCCTAGTGATTGTTTTCACCCCAAGATTAATTGTCAACCTGATGGTCATTGTCACCCCAACAGTTATTGTCACCCAATGGTCATTGTCATCCCAACAATTTCACCCCAACAGTTGATGTCACCCCAATGGTTGTTGTCACCCCAACAGTTAACATCAACTCAGTGGTCATTGTCACCCCAACAGTTGTCACCCTAATGATTGTTTTCACCCCAACATTCAATGTCACCTCAATGGCCATTGTCACCCCAACAGTTGTCACCCCAACAGTCAACGTCAACCCAATGGTCGTTGTCACCCTAACAGTTGTCACCCCAGTGGTTGTTTTCACCCCTACATTCAACGTCACTTCAATGGTCATTGTCACCCCAACAGCCAATGTCACCCCAATGGTCCCTGTGACCCCAACAGCCAGTGTCAACCCAGTAGTCATTGTCACCTCAACAGCCATTGTCACCCCAGTGATCATTGTCACCCCAACGATCACTGTCACCCCAGTGGCCACTGTCACCATCAGCATCAATCTGTCACCATCCTCCACCATCACTGTCACCGTCACCACCACCCCACCGCCGTCACCGTCACCTCCATTCACACCAGCCCTGTCACCAGTGCCCTCCAAGACCCCCTCTCAGTCCTGACCCCCTGACAGTCGCTGTCACCCCAATCCCCCCTCCCTGGGGCATCTACCTCCCCACTTACCCCTCCCAGGGGCAACAACATCCCCAAATACCCCTCCCAGTCCTCCATTTACCCCTGCCCGGGGCAACTATTATCTCATTTACACCCTCCTCCCTCCCCCCAGCTTCCCTGGGGGCAGCTCTACCCTTATTCCACCCCCCCCATTAGTTATTCACCTGTGACATTTGGGGACGGGGACAGATGTCCCGGGGGGGCACGGCGTTGGGCAGGAGGGCGTTGAGGAGGTGACAGAGGAGAACCCCATCCCTCAACGCCTGTGCCAGGTCCCAAACTTGTCCCGTGGGGCTGCTGGCACGGTGACCCGCCGGGAGAACCCGTGCTGCCACCAACCAATGGGCACACTGCCTCCAAACCTCCATGGGCACAGCTGGGAGGGGTCGTTTTGGGGAAGAGAAAGGTGGGTGTGGGGTCTTGGTGGGGTCAGTGATGGAAGGAACTGCCGGATACGGGGTCCTGATGGGTCACTTCTTGAAGGATGTGGTGGATATGGGGTCCTGATGGGTCACTTCTGGAAGGATGTGGTGGATATGGGGTCCTGATGGGTCACTTCTTGAAGGATGTGGTGGATATGGGGTCCTGGTGGGGTCACTTCTTGAAGGATGTGGTGGATACGGGGTCCCGATGGGTCACTTCTTGAAGGATGTGGTGGATATGGGGTCCTGGTAGGTCACTTCTGGAAGGATGTGGTGGATATGGGGTCCTGATGGGTCACTTCTGGAAGGATGTGGTGGATATAGGGTCCTGATGGGTCACTTCTGGAATGATGAGGTGGATATGGGGTCCTGGTAGGTCACTTCTTGAAGGATGAGGTGGGTTTGAGGTCCTGGTGGGGTCACTTCTTGAAGGATGAGGTGGATATGGGGTCCTGGTGGGGTCACTTCTGGAAGGATGTGGTGGATATGGGGTCCTGATGCGTCACTTCTTGAAGGATGTGGTGGGTTTGAGGTCCTGGTGGTGTCACAGATGGAAGGATGTGGTGGATACGGGGTCCTGGTGGATCACTGCCAGAAGAAAAGATGGATATGGGGTTGTTGTGGATCACTTCTAGAAGGAGACGATGGAGATGAGGCCCTGGTGGGTCCCTCTGGGGAAGAGGAGTGGTTGTAGGGTCCTGGTGGGGGTCACTTCTGGAAGGAGACAATGGATATGGGGTCGTAGTGGGGTCACAGACGGAAAGAGCTGATGGAGATGGGATCCTGGTGGGTCACTTTTGGGAAGGAGGTGGTGGATATGGGGTCCTGGTGGATAACTTCCGGAAGAAAAGATGGATAAAGGGTCGTGGTGGGATCACTTCAGGAAGGAGATGATGGAGATGGGGTCCCGGTGGGGTCACATCTGGAAAGGGTGGATGGAGAAGGGATCCTGGTAGGTCACTTCTTGAAGGATCCGATGGACATACTGTTGAGGTCACTTTCTGGAACGTTCTGTTGGATATAGGATGGAGTCTGGATCACTTCCAGAAGGCGATGTAGGGTATGGGATCGTGGTGGGATCACAGCTGGGAGGAGCTGATGGAGATGGGATCGTGGTGGGATCCCAAACTGATGGAGACGATGGATGTAGGATCGTGGTGGGATCACTCTGGATGGAGTTGATGGAATGGGGTCCTGCTGGGATCGCTCTGGATGGATCTGATGGATGTAGGATCGTAGTGGGATCAATTCTGGACGGAGTTGATGGAGATGGGGTCCTGTTGGGATCACTCTGGATGGAGCTGATGGATGTAGGATCGTGGTGGGATCACTCTGGATGGAGCTGATGGATGTAGGATCGTGATGGGATCACTCTGGATGGAGTTGATGGAGATGGGGTCCTGCTAGGATCGCTCTGGACGGATCCGATGGATGTAGGATTGTGGTGGGATCAGTCTCAATGGAGCCAATGGATGTAGGATCGTGGTGGGATCACTCAACAATGGAGTTGGGATCCTGCTGGGACCAGTCTGGATGGAGCTGATGGATGTAGGATTGGGGTGGGGTCAGTCTGGATGGAGTCGATGGAGCTGGGATCCTGCTGGGATCACTCTGGACGGATCCGATGGATGTAGGATCGTGGTGGGGTCAATTCTGGATGGAGCCTATGGAGTTGGGGTCCTGCTGGGATCACTCTGGACGGATCTGATGGATGTAGGATTGTAGTGGGATCACTGTGGATGGAGCTGATGGATGTAGGATCGTGGTGGGATCACTCTGGATGGAGCCAATGGAGTTGGTGTCCTGCTGGGATCACTCTGGACGGATCCGATGGATGTAGGATCGTGGTGGGGTCAATTCTGGATGGTGCCAATGGAGCTGGGATCCTGCTGGGGTCACTCTGGACGGATCCGATGGATGTAGGATTGTAGTGGGATCACTCTGGACGGATCCGATGGATGTAGGATTGTAGTGGGATCACTGTGGATGGAGCTGATGGATG